ACATTCATAGGGCCTCTCTACATTATGGAATCACTTGTGTGTACTGTATTGTGAGGCAAATCTGAAGGTTTCCCTCTACTGTGTACTCTTTATGTGAAAGGAGGCTTAAGCAATGATTTAACATTTCCCCACATGATGAGGCTTTCTGCTCCCATAAAGATTTCCAGCCTCGGAAACCCTGTACAGGATCCCTATAAGTCGGAACCGACTGCACAGCACATAACCACCACCACCATCATATTCCTTACTTTCATAGGGTCTTTCTGCACTTTGGATATTTCTACGTGATCTGAAACTTGAGAAATGGTAGACCTTTCCCTTGATTCCTTATACTCATAGGTTGTCACCACTGTGGATTCTTCTATGTACAGTGAGGGCTGATGCTCTTGTAATGGCTTTCCCCTACACTGCTTACATTCTTAAGGTCTCTCTCCACTATGACTTCGTTTATGTATAGTCAGGGTAGAGGAACAAGTAAAGGTTTTTCCACATTCTTTACACTCATAAGGCCTCTCTCCACTGTGGATTCTTCTATGTCTGCTACGGTGTGCCGATGTCCTAAAGGCTTTTCCACACTCCTCACATTCATAGGGCCTCTCTCCACTGTGGATTCTTCTATGTTGTGTGAGGCTTGAGGCCTGACTAAAGGCTTTGCCACACTCCGTACATTCATAGGGCCTCTCTACACTGTGGATTCTTCTATGTCTTCTAAGGTGTGCAGTTCTTCTAAAGACTTTCCCACACTCCTTACATTCATAGGGCCTGTCTGCACTGTGGATTCTTCTATGTCTTCTAAGGTATCCAATTGTTCTAAATGCTTTCCCACACTCCTTACATTCATAGACGCTATCTGCACTGTGGGTTATTCTATGTCTTCTAAGGTGTGTAGATGTTCTAAAGGCTTTTCCACACTCCTTACATTCGTAGGGCCTCTCTGCACTGTGGATTCTTCTATGTATTCTAAGGTGTGAAGTGCTTCTAAAGGTTTTCCCACACTCCTGACATTCATAAGGCTTCTGTCCACTGTGGATTATTCTATGTGCTGTAAGATGTGAGGTTGTAACAAAGGCTTTTCCACATTCTTTACATTCATAGGACCTCTCTGCACTGTGGATTATTGTGTGCCTTCTGAGGTGTGAGGGTGTTAGATAGCGTTTCCCACATTCCTTACATTCATAGGGCCTCTCTGCACTGTGTATTATTCTATGTGCTTTAAGGTGTGAGGTTCTGCTAAAGGCTTTCCCACACTCCTTACATTCAAAGGGCTTCTCTCCACTGTGGATTAGTCTATGTGCTGTAAGATGTGCGGTTGTTCTAAAGGCTTTTCCACATTCTTTACATTCATAGGGCCTCTCTCCACTGTGGATTATTGTATGGGTTCTGAGGCTAAAGGGTGTTAGAAAGCCTTTCCCACATTCTTTACATTCATACGGCCTCTCTATACTGTGGATTCTTCTATGTGCTTTAAGATGTATGGTTGTTCTAAAGGCTTTTCCACATTCTTTACATTCATAGGGCCTCTCTCCACTGTGGATTGTTATATGTGTTCTGAGGTTTGAGAGTGTTAGAAAGCCTTTCCCACACTCCTTACATTCATAGGGCCTCTCTGCACTGTGGATTCCTCTATGTGTTGTAAGTTGTGAAGTTGTTCTAAACGCTTTTCCACACTCCTTACATTCATAGGACTTCTCTGCACTGTGGATTATTCTATGTGTTCTGAGTCTTGAGGGTGTTAGAAAGCCTTTCCCACAATCCTTACATTCATAGGGCCTCTCCGTACTGTGGATTCCTCTATGTGTTTTAAGTTGTGAAGTTGTTCTAAACGCTTTCCCACACTCCTTACATTCATAAGGCCTTTCTGCATTGTGGGTTTGCATGTGTCTCCTGCACTCTGAGGAAAGTCTGAAGGCTTTCCCACATTGCTTACATTCGTAAGGCTTCTCTCCGCTGTGAATTGTTCTATGTACTATGAGGCCTGAGACATTAACAAAGGCTTTCTCACATTCCTTACATTCATAGGGCCTCTCTCCACTGTGGGTCCGCATGTGTCTCCTGCACTGTGAGGACAGTCTAAAGGCTTTTCCACATTGCTTACATTCATAAGGCTTCTCTCCGCTGTGGATTCTTTTATGTGCAATCAGTTCTGAGGAATACATAAAAGTGTTCCCACACTCCTTACATTCATAAGCCCTCTTTGCACTGTGGACTGCTTTATGTCTCGTGAGCCTTGAGGCGCCACTAAAGGATTTCCCACATTGATTACATTCATACAGCCTGTCTCCACTGTGAGTTTGCAAATGTCGACTCTGCTGTGAGGAATCCCTAAAGGATTTCCCACCCTCTTCATATTCAAATGGCCTCTGTGCACTGTGCATTCCTACAAGTCCAGGGAGGAGTGACGCCTCACCAGAGACATTCCCACACTCCATATATTCATGCAGCCTGTCTCCACTTATCTTACATTTATGAGTATTTTTCCCACCATGAGTGCTCACAGGCATGGTCAGAGGAGAAGGACACCTGCAGTCTTCTCCACAGTCCAGACACTGACAGGTACTGCTTCCAGTGTGAGCTCTACTACGATTGTTCTCTAGGGAATGATCCAGGAAGGCTTCTCCATATTCATAGCATTCAAAAGGATCTACTTCTAGGGGATCTATTTGCTGCACAGAACAACCAGGAATCAGGCTGGAGGTTTCCCCACACTGGTTGTGTTCACAACGTTCACCCAGCTTCTTGATTGCACCAATTCTGTTAAAAACAGGTAGTGTAAATGTAAACCAATGGTGTCCTCTGCAAACTACTCCATTTTCAACAAGGAGACAAGAAAAAAAAAGTCAGTTATCGTGTTGGAAACAAATGTTGTCGCATGACAGCATTACCGAACACAGTGAACATGCATGTCTTTTTCCTGAGTGGTCTCAAGATTCATCTAGGACAACGACTACCACTTCCGTCAATGTGTAAGACTTCCTGTTCATTGTGTCCAAGTGAAATATGCTCGAAACATTTCACTGACGAATACTTACAAAAACGTTCTTCCGTGAATTTTCACGGCATTCATCGTTTTACAACCAGAAATATACACATATACATACATACATGGGTCCAGATGAACTGTTGTTTTAATAGAAGTTGATTTGGTGAAGAAACAATCACTGGTACTGCATTCAAGAATGGTGAGCAAACCACCAATATGAATGTGTCGCTCTACACACTCCTGCAACAATCCAAACACCTGCATGGATACCAAGAGTCTTACATCACAGACCGGATATGTTGTAGGACTCTGGAGATCAACAAACACTTAGAGATGCGCAGCCTGCCACCATATCTGAATGGCACACTACTGACAGTTTCTTAATTGACACACAATTTAAAAGCAGAGATTTGACTGTTGGGAAATGCATATGCAACCTTCATTTGTCCAGCAATTACTCAATTAAAATTGTTCACAGAATGATGCAATTGAAAGACGATGGAGTTTTCCATGAACTATTTGGAGCCCCCTTATTTGAGTGTATTTTGATGTTATGACACCTCCTGAGATTTTGTGAAGCACTAATTTCTGTTGTTTGAATCACACTCACCTCAAATGTCTCCCCTGGTTGTCAAGCTGATCCTTCCAGCCATGTGATTTCTTGATTGCACCTGCAATGCATAATAACCATGTGTTACTCTTCAAATATCATATGATTAAATGATCACTGGGTAATTTTTCTCCATCATTAATGTTTCCAGCCACTGATCCAATCATTCAGGTTAAAGTCCACAATTAGAATCAAATGGGAATGATTACAGAAAACAGAGGTTCCTAGTAAAAAAAGACTCAGCCCCATTTTGCTATTCCAGCACTTTGACAAGTGTTAAAATGCAATTTACTAAGAAATACTTCTATCAGAATGGAGAGGGACAGTAACATACACAGGTATCATTAGGAGAGCTAAGTAGAAAGGAATTAGACATACCACACATGTAACATTACAAAGGCAAAGGGTCTCCGTGTCCACAGGTGCAAAAGGACAACTAAAATCAACAGAATATGTTCAGGTATCTGTGAAGTTGTGTCTGCAAACCAAAATAAACTTTTAGAAGCTAACTGATTTCCTTCATTCACGGGCTAAAATTACATTTCCTCGGGCTTCCTGACACATGGGCCTCAGTGACTGTGATTTCCAGTTTCCTCAGATTTTTCCTTAGCTTCTCTGAGAAACAAATGGGTAGAGCTACCACAGAGCTCAGGAGTCTCAGTGTGGTGTTGTAGGATAAATCCCCCAGTCACCTCTAGGAAAATGTACACAAATTTCCTAAGCATTGAAATCAATGTGATGGCAGTTCACAACAACATGGAGCTCGTGGAGAAATGTACATTGCAAGGAAGACTTTGATGACCAATGAAAGACTCCTTGTCACCAAGATGATACTCTGTTCTCTAGAAGCTCTGAAGATTGACAGGTGTAAATTCATTTGCATCAAAATCATGATATCAAACTTGCCAGAAACCCAATAAAACTCTCAGAAAGGCACCCACAGGACAAGTCTCAGTGCATGAAAGTGTCCCCTGAAGTCAATGCTATGCTGATGGCACTTAAAGAGGCCCAAGGCTTATATTATTCACAAGAGAAATGAAAGCTGAGTTCAGTGCACAGAGCATTGTATTAGGGGAATCCTGGATACATGAGCTCTATATAGAAGGGGACCATACCTTTTATTTTACGGGGTGTTCCCATAGCTCATTCCATATAAGCAAGCACAGTTGATGAGTAAAATATTTGTGTTCACTAAAGGAATAAGAAAAAAGAAAAAGGAAGATGCCATTCATACCGACTGAAGCCAGGTTTCTCAAGGTTTCCATCATCACGTCTCTGTAGAGTTTCCTCTGAGCAGGATCCAGCAAATCCCACTCTTCGTGGGTGAAGACCACAGCCACATCTTCAATGATCATTGTACCCTAAAACATCCCACACATTCTCTGTCAGCGAAGCAGCACAGACTACAACATGTCTAAGAACAAAAGGTGAGGCTGCCATTCCTGGGACATGAGATTCCACAGGTACATAACACCAGGTTCTGTG